GACAACCCCTTTTGTTGGACGACCAGCGCTCCTCTGAGTCCTCCACCCGACGATGTTTCGACATCCACCACTGCTTCATTGGGTCTCCTGCCGGCCAATTCCGCTTCACTTCCGCTGATGCTGCCCGTTTCCAAAAATTGTTCTGCCATACCTTCTCTGTGTACGGCAACGACCCACGGTTCTTCACCCACCCTTCACCGTTCACCAAGGATTGTCTCAAGAACGACGATGAACTCCTACCAGCTCTCCGTCGCGAAATTCTTCATGACCTCATCGGACTGAACCCAGACTCGAATCTCTTTCAACAAATCTACCACGATTGTCAGCCTCTCCTCTTCAGCGCCTGCCTTTCCGTCAAATCTCCCAACACTGAACTTGTGCCGCTGACCGCTGCTTCACTTGCCGCTGCTCTCAGTGATGTCTCCAATTCCTTTGATCGGCACGGCTACGCCAAATCCCCCGTCCACATTTATATCCACACTGAGCACCTCCGACGTCGATCTCCTGACCAGCCTGCCTATTTATTGAGTGATTTTTACAGCACCCAACAATCGCCTATTGTCCCTTCCAATACCCCTCTATCCGACCGAAAACTTCCATATTTCAACCCCAACCCATCCCCTTCCCTTTTGCCTGCATTTTCTCCACCCCAACCCGAACCACCCTTGGACGCTGCCGCCCTACCACCCACAGCAACTCCTCGACAATCCACCCCACATTCCGATCCCGCTGCTCAGGCACCCTTGGTTCCATCCCCTTCCATTTTGGTTCCTCCAATTTTTTCCAGGGCAGACATTTCTCCCATTTCCAATCACGGGAGGGTTTCTCCTTCTTCCCTCTCTTCTACTTCCGACAATAATCGCCCTTGCTCTGTGGCTCCCTCGGTCAACTCCCTTGCTGATGACGACCCAACAATTTACGCCACCAACACCCGTGCCACCCCTGCCTCCCACTCCCCTTCTTCCAATTCTTCCGTGGCCACTCCAATTTCCTCTGTTCCATCATCAACGTTTGCGGATCCAGCCAATTCCCCGGTTGCACGTCCAATTTACAGCCTCTCGACTATGGCTGACAGTGATTCGTCCCATTCTGTTTCCAATCTTCCCCCTTCCTCTCCTCCGCTGGACTACTCCTCTTCGTCGGACGTTTCCACCACCAATGGTCCATACGACGAATCCTACTATGACGGCGATCCTTTCTACCAGCATACTGATGATCCCTCTCCCAGCGCATCATCCCCATCTGCTTCCATTGAAGATCCCTCATCCCAACGTGCTTACATCGACACTGATAATCCCTCTCACAACGAATCATCTGCTTCCATCGACACCGACGATCCCACTTCCGACGAATCATCCCAACGTGCTTACATCGACACTGATGTTCCCTCTCCCTCTGAGTCATTCCCGCCTGATTACATCGACAAATCCTACTACGACGATGCCAACGATCGATACCTTGATCCCAACACACTCCACCGTGATACTGACTTCGATTATTATTACGACAACAATGAAAATTGCTACCTCTACGACGATACCGACGACTACTTCACTGATTCGTACGGCAATTCTTATTTCTGATTCCCATGCACTCCATTCCTTTTTCCCATCACTCTTTTCGGTTCTGCTTCTCTCACTACTGGTCCTTTCTTCTTTCACGTCTTTTGATCTCCAATGCTATCCCATTCCAGATCACGGGAGGGTGTTGCGCGAAGGACAGACCAAATAGCTAGATAAGCAGCAACACTGCACTCTCACTTATCCTTTAGCATGACATTACACTGATTGATAGGTCTCTTGACATCTGTTCTGTACGTTACGACTGTACGGTACTAGCTAGTACCACAGTCTCGTTGGTTCCGGAGGAGCCAGCTTTCGGCGCATGAGAAACGCACCCCTCCGGTCAAAATACTTTGACAGCTTCCTGGCTTACAAAACGATCTTTCGTTGATGACTCTCGGCTCTTCCCTCGCTCGGACACATCCTTGCATTTTGCATTTCCCATGAACCTTGACGGGGCCTACCAGGTAGAGTATTGGATTATTCGCTAGGAAGACGAATCCCGGTAGTCGGTCAAGCTTAGGAGAAAAGAAGAGAGAAGGAATGATGAGGTTGACTTCACGATCTTTCTCTGTCTTGTTCTTGCTCTTTCTAGAGACTCGGAGAGGCGTCGCCTTGTCTTCGGTAGAGGTACCCCCCTTTCGCATTGGAGCCCGGCCCTCTCGACTAGCACAAATCCAAGCTCAAGCAGTCTTGCAGGAACTGTCCAAAAATCATGGTGTAGAAGCAAGTATTGTCAAGATCCAAGCCGATGGTGACCATGTCAACCCCACCAAGGCAGGGATTCAAACGGTTCCGCTGGCAGCCCGATCCGCGGATTTTACGGGGGCCCTCGATGACGCCTTGTTGTCTCATGACATTGATATAGCAGTGCACAGTCTCAAGGACATTCCACCCACGGCAAGATGGAACCCACAATTGACTATTGCAGGCCACTTAAAGAGACAAGATCCCAGGGATGTATTGGTCGGACCATATCCCTCCATTCAAAGTTTACCTCAACGAGCTAAAGTTGGTACTAGCTCTGCGAGACGACAAGCGCAATTGCGAGCCATGCGACCGGACTTGGAGCTTCAAAATGTTCGAGGAAACGTCGAAACAAGGCTCAGGTCCTTGAAACAACCAACACAGAACAACTATGATGCTGACAATGATGATCAATCGGTGGATGCTCTCATCTTGGCACAGTCAGGGCTGAATCGGTTGCTAAAGAATGACAACATCATTGCTTGGATAGACGAACCATCCTCCAAAGAATCAGTGGGGAATTGGCACCGTCCCGTATCCACAGACGAAATGCTGTCGGGTGCCTGTCAGGGTATTGTGGCGGTGGTTTGTCGCGCCAATGATGCTGCCACCACGGAATGGATCCAACCCATCAACGACGTAGACTCCGCCATTGCCGCCGCTGCAGAGCGTGCCTTTTTAGACACGTTAGATTCCTTCTCGCCCTGGGTCGGCAGACCACCTTTGGCAAGCCTTATGGAACGAGAACGACGCGAGAAGGAACACTCTTGGGTCTTTCAAGGACTATTGGCACGGCCGGATGGTGCAAAGGTAATCCGAAGAGTGGAACGGTGCACAATGACCGAGTCAACCTCCGAGGAGGTGGCCCGTGGTGTGGGGCAATCAGTTGCAGAACAGATACTGGAGGAAGCTGGACCTGATTTCTACAAGTAGCAAAGTATCACAACGTGGGGGGAGCAGCTAATTGTACATTGCGCACGGCACGGTAGTGGTACCATACTGGATAAAGAAATCTAAAGAAAGTTAGTAACTATCTAGTTATGAACAGAACTGAGTGATGGTCGCCAACATCAGCACAAACGTTGTACTGGTCGGCGTAGCTAACCCAACTCTTGGACATTGTCATATTGCTGATACGATGGTACTCGTGATCGTAATACTTGCCAGGCATCATCGTTAAAGACTTCACCCGCAAAGGGCTCTGGTGCTCGACCATTGCAAATCTTTTTCATCTCTTGTTGTTTCCCCATGACATCTCCTCGAACACAATTCTTGGTATGCCATTCTTCTTTGGACAGGTACTTGTAATGATGTAGCGCGGCAACGTCCAACGTTCCCTCTTCGTGTACCATGATCTTCCATCCCCTATTGTTGACTGGTTGTCCATTGGCCGAAAACCATTTGCGACGGGGTGCCAGTTTAAAGGTATGTGACCAACGAAAGTGTTTCTCTTTCAGAGCAACCGCCCATGGATCTACAATGGATTTGACAGTGTTTTGAAACCGCCCATATTGGAAGCGTCTCGTGACGGGGACATTGACATAGTCGGTCCGATTGCTGCTGCCCATGGTGAACCAGTTGATGGAAATTTGTCCACAAGAAGAACCATTGTGTTGTTGGCGAGCAGAACACGTGTCTCTCATAAAGTCCAGGACATTGTCGTGTTTATGGAGTACCAGAAACTCATCGACATCAAAGGTTGCCAACCAGGTAATCTTGTCGGCGCGCGCTTGTTCGACGCAGTGCTTGTATCCGTATTGTTGCTGCTTTTGGGCCTCTCCTGCGTCAGTGACGTTGTTGACAACGTTGGGAATGAAGTGTTCGATCCGTAGTTTGTCTCTTTGGTAGGTCCAGTTGTGCAAGCTGAATTCTGGAGAGTTGTCCAAGACATGAATGTCGGTAAAGCCAATGGCCAAGTTGTAGTCCAGCCATTCCTTCAGATACCGCTCGGCATGTTTGACCATCAAGCAAATCCGAGCCGTTTCCTTTTTCTTTTTGGTAGCAATTCCACCTTGGGTATCAACATCACGTTGCT